GTATAGCATAAAGTCAATGAAACTTCTGGGATATTGATCAGGTCAGTTAAGTAGCAGAGGGGTAGTTATTCAGTTTTAGCTGCTTTGGTGTTAATGAAATTAACAACAGGTGCACTAGATGGGCAACAATGAGACGACGTCCAAAACAGGAATGGTTTTACAGGTGGAGGCCACTGACATATTTTTCCCTACTACTCTTTTCTGACTGTCTTTCACTCGTTTTGCACTTGGCTAAAGTCAGTTTCACTACTAGTAGCATGAGGCGATACCTGGACCCTATAGAGGTTACACAGGCATGCCAACTCCTCCAGGATGGCACATCAATACCTGCCATTGCCAGAAGGTTTGCTTTGTCTCCCAGCACAGTCTCAAGAGCATGGAGGAGATTCCAGGAACGAGTTAGTTACTCTAGGAGAGCTGGACAGGGCCGTAGAAGGTGCTTAACCCATCAGCAGGACCGGTATCTGCTCCTTTGTGCATGGAAGAACAGGATGAGCACTGCCAGAGCTCTACAAAATGACCTCCAGCAGGCCACTGGTGTGAATGTCTCTGACCAAACAATCAGAAACAGACTTCATGAGGGTGGCCTGAGGGTCTGACATCCTCCAGTGGGCCCTGTGCTCACTGCCTGGCAGCGTGGGGGTCGATTGGCATTTGCCTATGAACACCACAGTTGGCAGGTCCGCCACTGGTGCCCTGTGCTTTTCACAGATAAGAGCAGGTTCACCCTGGTCAAGTGACAGACATGAAAGGGTCTGAAGAAGCCATGGAGAACGTTATGCTGCCTGTAACATCATTCAGCATGACTAGTTTGGTGGTGAGTCAGTAATGGTCTGGGGAGGCATATCCATGGAGGGACGCACAGACCTCTTCAGGCTAGACAATGGCACCCTGACTGCCATTAGGTATCGGGATGAAATCCTTATACTCATTGTCAGACCCTACGCTGGTGCAGTGGGTCCTGGGTTCCTCCTGGTGCATGACAATACCTGGCCTGATGTGGCGAGAGTATGCAGCCAGTTCCTTGAGGATAAAGGAATTGATACCATTGAATGGCCCCCACGCTCACCTGACCTGAATCCAATAGAACACCTCTGGGACATTAAGTCTCGGTCCATCGGACGCCGCCAGGTTGCATCTCAGTCTGTTCAGGAGCTCAGTGATGGCCTGGTCCAGATCTGGGAGATACTCCAGGACACCATCTGTCATGTCATTAGGAGCATGCCCTTACGTTGTCAGGCATCCATACAAGCACATGGGGGCCATACAAACTAATGAGTACCATTTTAAGTTGCTGCAATGAAATTTCAGCACAATGGACTAGCCTGCTGCATAATTTGTTCACTTTGATTTTTGGAGTGTCTTTGAATTCAGCCCCCTGTAGGCTGATAATTTTTCATTTCCATTAAACGACGCAGCATACTTTCGTTCCCAACACGTTACGCAGTCCAGTATACAGTAGATATCCAGCATGATATTTTTCCCCATTGAGATCTGATGTGTTTTCAAAGTGTTCCTTTAATTTTTTTGAGCAGTTTATATATATTTGTACTTTTGTGTGCACACCCTGATGCAATTGGCTGCACACGGCTATGTACATATTCATAAAGTCTGAAAATACTGTATTATCAATTGCAGAACAAATCTGTTTAAATCAAATCTTTACATACAGTATTTACAATGAAGACGAGCTATTCATAGAAGTACTTTCAAACCACTTTATTATCATGACTACCTATTTTGTTAAAAGGTGAGCCAAAAATTAGAAAACAAATATGTCAAATAATACAATTATGCATTTTCTCCCTAGCCCATTCCATTTAAAGGATATGTGCACTTTGTTTTGGACCCCTTTAAGGTAAGGTCACAGCTGCTCCCTCTCACCCCGTGCAGATACATGAAGTAGACAGAAGGAATTAAAATGCAAACACTACTTCGTATATGCAAAATGCAACTACTGTACAATGGATAGTTAGAAGGAAGTGGTGCAGGAAGTTAGGATGTGCAGTACCCTACTGAAATATTCTTTCACTTCTCTATTTTTGCTCTGTTTCCTTCAGTTACTGGAACAGAGGAAACATTGCGAAAGGTTTAACACACGCCATTTGTATGCCCCTTTTTTAACATTTAGGGGCATATTTAAAAAGTAGAGAATATGACAAAACATACACTGCAGGTGAGTCACTAGAATTTAAAACACATGCAACAGATTCAGCTAGAGCAAATGTTTGGTGCATTGCTTTATAAATATGTCCCTTATTATGCATAATAAAAACTTTAATTTTAGATTTAATAAAGCTAATACAATAAACATTGTTATTATAAGCAACTCAGATAAGAGAAAATGTGTCCTGGCTACAGATTATTTCAAGGGTTAGTCCACCTAAAGCTGATATTTCTGTGCATTGTAGACACTGGAGAGTTAAAGTGTAGCTAAACCCAGACGCTTAAACTAAATTTGTTGTTGCGCACGTGTTCTCGGTAATGTCAAAAAAGTTCAGTTTATTTCTCTTTATCTTTCCTGCTTTTAATTAAACATCAATTGTGATCCTGCTATTAAATGTATCCACAGACAATTCCTTTCTTAAGGTGCCCATACACCCTACAATTATCTTCAGATTTTCTGTGGTCAGATGGAAAAAGTGCAACAGATTGGCCCAGGTGGAGATTACTCCATCCACACAGTTAAGTGTAGATGGAGGAACCTGTTGCACCTTTTCCATCTGACCATAGAAAATCTGCAGATAATTGTAAGGTGTGTGGCCAGCTTTAGGGTTATAACATGTATTGAGCTCAGCTGGTGTGTTGTCACCCTCTCCTGTGCACTCCTCATTTGGATTACTATCAGCCATGCCAATACATAACCCGCTGTCACATTTGTCTATCCTTAAAGAGGAACTTTACCCATATCTTTGAAATAGCAACAAATACACCTTTAGAAATGTGTAGTAATGAGAATCTACAAACCCAAGCGTATGGATAATTGCAGGCTTTGTATTCTTTGCATACCTTATGTTTCTTTTCCCCTCCATTATTCTCACAGTGGCCATTTTTACTAAGGGTGGATTAATATATTTCCTTTTACTTCCTGGAATTCTGGCACATGTTACCAAGACATTGGACCATGCAAGTCATCTCAGGGGAGGAAAATGCCTTTCCCTGAGATCTCCTGAGATTACAGATGAGATTTCCCAGCAATGCTCTGCTGATGTAACCTTCCCAGGATGCAACACTTGGGCACATTACATCACTAATGCCCAAGAGAACCAGGAAGTGAAAGAACGGTAATTGTGAAGTAAAAGAAAAATATGTTTGTTTAACTAATGAATGTAAGATGATTTCATATGCAGCTTTGTGGGTGGACCCTTTAACATTTTTAAAGCAAAGTACAATGGCTTTCTGCAAATTGCCATTTTTCAGAGCCACCAATTATATTTCTGTTTACCATTGTCGTACTGGTTAAAGTGTACCTGTGCCCAGACTATGGACATTAGAGAATTTGCATGTTTTTGCATATTTTTAACAAGCAGTTAAGGCGGTTATCAACCTCCCTAGCTGTTTGTACTGTAAAGTAATTTATTCTCAAAGATCACAACAAAGACTTTAAAGCTGGCCATACACTAGTAGACTGTGTAGGAGTCAAACAAAAAAATATCATCAGAACATTCGATAATCAGAGACTTGTAGAATGCCCTTTGAAATGTTGTTTGATTTTAACATTCAATTTTTGATTTTGATTTTAACATTCAAGTGACGAAGGAACATGGGACCGGTTTCTCGGTCAATCAGGAAGCCGGGGAGCGTGTAATGACTCGCTGCCCGGCTTCCTGATTGGCCGGGAAGCGGGCTTCATGCTCCCTCGTCACTTGGTGATGATGGAGCATGGAGCCGGCTTCTCGGCCAATCAGGAAGCTGGGCAGTGAGCCATTACCCTGGTGCCGATGGAGCATGGAGACAATCACGTCTCATAGTGATGAGAAGCACGGCTTCCCTGCTAATCGGGAAGCCGGGTGGCGAGTCTTTACACGCCGACCTGTTTCCCGGCTAGTAAGGAAGCCAGGTGGCGAGTCATTACATGCCGCCTGGCATTCCTCAATGGGACTTCCGTTACTCGGTATTCGTTAAAAAATAATATCAGTACTCGTACTCGATACCGAAATACCGGTATCTGTGCATCCCTAGATACTGTTTTCAGAGATGCGCCATAACTGATGCTCTGTGGTAGCTCATCTAGCACAGTTATTGGAGACAAGAACCAGAAAAATCATAGCTGTCCTTAAAGTAAAACTATAGCATCCCATTAATATAATATGCACTGCAACACTTAATTATACATGGATTTCCATTTATTTTTCCCCTGTTCCCCTGCAAAGCCCCCCAAATACCTGTTGATCCTGCCTGTGAAGTCCACTTAATGCAGCTTCCTGTGATGGTGTGGCAATAATGCTGCACTGCTCTTGAATTCTAGGTGTGGCCAGGTGCTTGTTAATAAGCACCAGGCCACACCTAGTCCTGCTAACTGCTTTCTGGATTTACAGCACTAAAGATGAAGGAAGTTTTTTTGTTTACTTTATGAGGCTTGTGCATCACATAGTATCTGGATTTGATATTTGTTAAAGACTGTTGCACAGGAGCCAATAGTTGTACATTAAAATAAATTTTTAGCATTTACATGATTAAGTCAAGGAACAATAACAAAAAGTATCTAATTTAAAGTACATCTTTTTTAAACGATTATGACATTTAACTGCAGATCATTTGCTATATATGATAATTGAAACGCTCTAATAGCTGATGATGCACTCAGTTCACATGCCAAAGCTGGCCTTGTGAGATACGAAATCTATACATAAAAGCACTGTTTTAGGGGAATTGCCACATTTTTATCACATATTTTTAAACTGAAATAAAAAAATCAGAATTTTTAAAAGATTTGCAATCAGAAATGCATATTCCAGCCCAATATTCTTCTGTAATTCACAATTAAAAACTAGCACTTTTTATTGGCACTTTCTACCAGACTTAGCAATGACTTTACGTAGTCTTGCCCAAAAAAGCTGCTGTCCTTTCTCATCATCTGGCCAGTCCAGATAAGTCTTCTTATTCAGTACTTTAGTCAGTCTATGGTAATAATGCAGCTCTTCTCTAGAGATCTTATCAAGGAATATTAGAATTAAAGAATCCTTACTTTCTGTTAGTAGCCTGTAAGTTGCCATCCTCATCTCAAGGGAACACCAGTTACTTTGCAAGTAACTGTGAGTAATTATACACACTGTCCATCTGCTGTTATAAATACTGTCCATGATGTTCTCTACAATGTCTTTGCCGATTTCAAAATCCCGGTTATGGATACACACTTTGAAGAAAGGAGCGCCATTCTGCTCCAGGTTCGGAAGAAGCTGCTCTGTGACCCATTGTTCATTGTTTGTGTTGTAGGACACAAAAACATCATATTCATAATTGCCTTTGTGTTGTAGCCTGTGGTTCAGCCAGCATTTAATGGTGTAGACTATGTAGAGAATATACCACCAGATACTTTCATAGAAGAGGGATATGCACATAAACAGCAGTGTGCACAAAAAGCTCAGTAGGAACATTATAAAATCCAAATCACTCTGGCAATTGTTGTTTAAGAAAAATATTAAATTCATGCTGATGTGGTTGATGAGACATCCTTGATTATGAAAGTCAATGACAGACACATGTGTGTTAGATTCCAGCCATGAGACTAACCCTTTGAAATGACAACTACAGGGAAAAGTTGTTTGCAAAAAATAAATGTACTTCAAGTTTGGCATTGAATCAAATACAACTGAGTCTACCTCTTGCATGTTCTGATTTTCAATGATGAGAAACTCCAGATCATATAAATCACTAAAAATAACCTTGGAATTCAAATGATCTATTCCAGAATTCTTTAAATGTAACAATTTGAGATGTGATAAGTTTTGAAAAATTGTGTTAACATTTATTTGATTGTATTTAATGATGTTATTAGTATCGTGCAAATAAAGGAACTTTAATGATGGTAAGTAATTCAGCGAGTTAATGATAGCACTAAAATTAGAAATGTCCTCTGGATTTCCAGAGTAATATAGTTTTTCAAGTTTTGTAAAATTGACAAATGGGCTCCACTGTGAATTAAGTTCTACAATTTGTACGGTGTTAATCAAATGTAGCTCTTTAGTTTCAGAGAATGTACCACCATTGAGAAATACGACAGATGAATCTATTTTCAAGCACTCAAAAAAGGGAAATGCATCTGAACTGTCCATTGTCAAGTCTAAAAAATTGCCCTTTACTGAGATACTTCTTATTGACCTTTGTATATAATTCCACCAATACAGATCAGTCGTATAATCATAGGTCAACCTTATATCTTCCAGAAGAAAAAGGGTTTTAAATGCTTGTGCATGAAATGTATTAATCGCATTTTCATATAAATTTAAATGTCTTACCAAAAACAAATTTGACAATGTGAATTCACCAATACTGAACAGATTGTTAGATTGAAGATTCAAAAGCTGCAATTCATCTAAACCATCAAAGGCCAAGTCATCAATGTGGTTAATTTTGTTGTTTTCCAGTGATAAGCTCTTAAGTTCCTTTAAGCATGCAAACTGTCCCTTTTGTAGCCTAGTTAAATAATTAGAAGACACATTTAGGTAAATTAGCTTCAATGTTGGCGAGGATTCATTTGTGCAAGTCTTTAAACTTTCTATATTATTCTTTGATAAATCCAGATCCAGTAAATCATCTAATTTTTGCATTTGTTGTACCCCAATCTTTTCTAATGCATTGCCTGTTAAATTTAACTTCTTTAAGTACTTACATGAGCCTTTGAAAGTGTTAATTTCATATATGGCAGAAAACATAAGGAGAAGTTCCTCTGCTTTAAAATGAGATGCGTAAGCACAGATTTGAAATGTATAAAGTCCATTGTTTTGTAATGAAATTGTTTTAATTGTCTTAATACCAGATTTATAAACGTTTTCCATTTCAATGCCACTTTTTCCAAGAGTGAAAAGCTCCAGGTGTGGAAAGTTGCAGAGAGACTTTTGTTCAATTACGGAAAATACGTTTGCGCTCAGGTCAAGATGGCTGATGTTAAAATCTACAAACTGTCCATAACTTATAGGATTTTGTGAAGTAAGACAATCAGCTCTTCTAAGTTTCGCAATCTTATTGCCAATTACAGACAGTTTTTTTAAGTTTGTCAGTGTTCCCAGTGATGCAGTTACTGCAGATAGATAAGTGATATTGTTCTCCTCCAAAAAAAGATGGTCCAAAAGATGAAGATGGTTGAATACCGAAAAGTTGAATGCTGAGAACTGTATATAAGATATTTTTAGTTCTTGCAGTGAATTTAATCCATAAAAAGTATCCTTATGGAATGTGATGTTATTTAGCTCAGATTTTGCCCCGATCCTGAGAGTAGTTAGTTGAGAAAGACCACTGAAGGTACCAGGTTGGAATTCAACGTTCCTTGTTTCTATATAGAGAGCATTCAAGCTTGTGAATCGAGAGAACATATCAGTTTCCATTGTGACTCCCCGATAATCAGTTAGACAAAGCCAATCTGTTTCCAGTGGAACTTCTTTGAGTGCCACATTAAGATTTGCCACCCCGTCACAATGGACTGCAATGGAAAAATGTAATTCCTCAAACTCCTCGCATCTGTCGAAATGCAGATCCATAAACTGTGCAAAATATTTCCTTTCCAGAACCTGACAGTTCTGTCTTAGCACAGAATGACAAAACAATTGAGCAGAAATCATGTAGAGAAGCCAAGCACAAATTAAGCTGTACATATTCATGATGACTTACTGAAGTCTGTATGTAGAGCCAACTATGAAAAGATTTAAGGTGACACAGGAATATGACTGGTGTTCAGGATATACATTTTAGCACACTCGCCCCTCATTCCAACTCAAGAAAACATATATATATAAATAAATCTTTAAAGAGGAAATACATGCAGTAAATGTTTAAAGGAATTTCAAAGCCTTACTGGGAAGTAGAAGTGAAGTAGTGACAAGTAGACAGCTACTGTATGTTATTTAAATGTCACTTAGATGCAACAGAAGATACAGTCAGAAGTGTGTATTTCTCAAGCGGATTATAGTGTCAACATTTTAATCAATAAAGGCAGAGCATATGTAATCCTCTACAGACGTCCCTCCAGAAATGAGTAACTAGTGAAAGTCATACAGGTACACTGCAGTAGAGAAACTCCATAAAAGTGACGGGAGCACCTTGCCTATGGGGAAACAATATTAGGACATCATAAAGGTAGCAGAATGTGTAAAGAAGCATTGGACCTGTAGTACAGCAACTACAGTAGATTTGATATTTCCATAGATTTTAGCATTCAATGTACAAGTGGGGACTTTTCTCTGGGCATTGCTCTGCCCCCACGAATCTAAATGGCCATTGCCTAGTTTGTTTGTTTTTGCAGTCTTCAGTCCAGGCTTTTTCTTGATTTCCCAATTATAGTGTTAGTGCTTTTTATAGACTTATCTGTAATGGCCACTCCAGCTTCGCGGTCACCCAGTGTCCACCAAACTTGCGCTATTCTGTGTATTCTCATTGGACATTTGTTTCTAAGCCACTTTAATTGGTTTGGCATTTACTCATTTCTAATTTATTTAATAAACAAAGCTGCATGTACTTACTGGTTACATTGTTATTTAAAGTATGTATGGGGGCAAAAACAAATGCTCACTTCTGCAATACGTGCACATGTCCCCATGTTTTATCCCTTTGAAAACATTGCAAGTACAGAAAAAAGGAGACCTTTTTCTCCATTCTGATTCCAGTGTCAGAGCTGCTTTAAATTTATAATTGTTTTTTTTTAAAAGACATTAGCTCTTTTAACCCCTTGCTGCTGGCCGTTAAGGTGGCCATGATGCCGGAGGCTGGTAGGAGGGGCTCCTGATTATGCAATCACTTTGACCGTATTCCCAGTATTTTGGAGTACATCCTACCGGCTTCCAATAACAGTTCTTAGTGCGCAGATGGAGTGCAACTGTAGAATAACACAGTGACACATATACACAGCACCTCTGCAAAAATGCCCACCTCCGTGCTGCAGCATACATGTGAGGCCTGCGAGCAGTGATTAATATATTCAGAAACAATATACAAGAAAAATAACAGGTGGGGCGTGTCCTGGACATGGCAGCGTGAGGTGCTTGATCGG